AGCCTTCCCATTTCATACTATCAGTTTCCATGTGGGTCAGCTTGGGGGCTATCACAAAATAACATAAACTCAGTGGCTTACCAACAATAGGAACTTATTGTTCACAGTTCTGCAGGCTGGGAAATACACCATCCAGGTGCCGATTCAGTGTGTGGTGAGAGTCCTGGCTGCACACTGATGGCTTCCTGCCACATCCTCACATGGCAGATGGGGAGCAATGCCCTCTGGCCTCTCTTCACAAGGACACGAATCCCGCCAAACGGGCTCCATCCTTATGACCTGGCAACTGCCCAGAGGCCCCACCTCCCAAAGCCATAGCGATGGGACCAGGTTCCAGCATGTGAATCCTGGGAGAACTCAGGCTTTCAGGCAGGCCTCTACCTGCTCTTCGCACATATCCATTGTTCCATCAACTTGTCTAGCCTGAAAAGAAGGCGCCAGGTTCAGACGCTCCTCTCCAGTCCCAGCATCACGACCCCTCGTCCTGAAGCACCTCTTGCGGAGGGCAGCAGAGGCCCAGAAGTCCTAAAACTAAGACAGGGATCCATTTTGGACAAATATCAATCCCAAATGTTATCTGGCCTTCTTAGGTTCTAGATTTTTCTCTTCCTGCTGCTTAAGGGATCAAATCATGCCTCTCTTGGACTAGAAATTGTGTTTGACACTGATCCAGGTGACTGGTTCTTGATTTCTGTATCATCATTCTTGCAGCAATTAGGGACTAGAGCAAAAGATTCTCCTCCCCAAGAAAGACTGGGGTCCCATTTTCTCTTTGAAGCCTTTATGCAGGGCATTCCTAAAGGACAGTATTACTGCAGGGTATGTGCGGGTGTCCAGTCAGTACATGTTCAGTAATTGCCTTTATTAAGGCCTGAGGACCCTCCTTTGCTTCTATTTAAATAGTGCCCCATTGTGCAACTCAGTATCAGACACACAGCTTTTCAAACTTGCTGCTGAATTAGTCATTCTTTGATAGTGTTTCAGATAATTTTGTTGTCTGGTGCATGAAAAAGTTTACCCATGTGTAGTTCCGGTCTGAGTTTACAACTTAGGCAAGTTTCACTTATTGGACAAAGAGTTTCAACGCTAAAATAAGTTGAATGGCTTTTGAGACTGATTCAGGAGTTAGAAAAGAGGAGATATCTTAAACCCTTCAAAAACTTCTTTCTTTATTTCCTTTTTCTTTCTTACTTTCACCACAGGGAATGAACGACATGTGATTGGCATCAGAGTAAATGTTATTGGCAGAAAGTTTGAGAAAGGGAAGGATTACTAATGGCTAGAGTGTCTGCAAGGATGAAAGGAGGCTGGTAGAAGCCAGGTGGGCCCCCAGGAGGTGGTGCTGCCTAGCTGGGGAAGAGCCAGAGCAAGGGTCTGAGGCAGGCCCTGCATGGCGGGCCCGGGACGGGCGACACGGGAGCGGGGTGACGAGTCTGGAAAAGCAGGGAGGGTCCACGCAAACCCTGCCTGGGCGGGTGGTCTTCACACAGGTCACGGGCATGGCAGACCTGGGGTCCCAGCACACTGCTTTGGAATTGGCTGATGGGGAGGAGGAAGCCCCCGGGGGGCCCTAGGGAGGCCCTGAGCGGCTCTGGAATGGGCGGTGGCCCTTCAGGCGTAGACTTAACGACAGAACGGCTCCTCCTGTCAGCCACCTCAGGCCAGCAGCGCCCATTTACTTCAAAAGCAGCCAGGCTGTACAATCAGATGCCAGGATAGGCACACAGCAGCCTAAAATGCAAAGAATCGTTCAAAACACACCCATGCGTGTACGGGTCAGGGAGGCAGCCAGTAAAGGGAGAAAAGGCTCTAATGAGAATACTTCCCAAGTGTCCCCATCTGGCTCTTCCATAAATAATCATCGAAAGGGGAATATCTGACATGGTGTCCTTTCCTGAAGAAATGAGCCGGGCTTGCTTTTGGGGGAGAGGCAAGCAGTGGTCACGGGGCAGTGAGTCTGAAGAAAGCCACAGGTGGGGGAGCTAAGCGGCCATGTGCCCCCATGTGGGAGAGAGTGCAAGAAAATAACCCCTCCAAGGCTCAAGCCTTCATTAATAAAATAGAAGATAAGTTGGTCCCTAGCTATTTGCACTGGGGAGCGTCAGGAAGGAGCACGGACTTGGGAGCCTGAACGACCTGGTCGACATGCACCAGATTGCTACAGCGCCTCGGGAAGATGGTTTCACTTCTGCAGACTTCAAGGTCCATGTCCCCAAGACAGAGATCCTAATGTTGACCTTGCTCTGAGGAGCAGAGTGAATACATACACAAAGTGCCCACGGCAGGGTCAGGCGTACAGCAGACGTCCAGTAAACAGTAGTTCTCATCAGCAGTACCATCTAGTCCACTGCCAGGCAAATCTTGTGATAATGGAAGAAACTGAGCTACAACTGTGAAGGTGTATTTCTAACCAGCACCAGAACGTTCTGGAAAACCTTGAAGCCTTACATGACATGGCAAGGATGGGGTGCTCAGTGCTATGGCGAGGCTCTCACTGCCCTAGCTCACGTGCTTCAGTTCAGTCCCCGCATCTGTGTCCCTGACACGCCCTGTTCTAGCCTCTTCGTGCCTCCCTGACTATTCAGGATTCATTTCTGCCGAGCTCACCTCACCCCCACCTCTGCCTTACTGTCATTCTTTCTGGGCTCAAGGATGCGTTTTCGAAACGCAGGAGAGGGCTATAGTTACTCTCCCCTTTTCTTTCTGTCAGACTGTGAGTGACCAACAGGTCACAACGGAATGGGGCACAGTGACTCCAAACGGCCCCCAGTTTAACTGCCAAGGACAGACTGCAGCGGACTCCACCTTCTGAGAAGATGCACGGTGTCGAGCGGCAGGCTGCCACTCCCTCAGCTTAAAACTCTGAACGAAGTATTTCCAGGAACACTTGCACTCTGGAATCACCATTGGTAGGAGAATTATTTTTCTTCAACTCAGACAACAGATCTTGATAAGGTATCATTTTGTGACATCTCAAAGCATTTAAGCCCTTAAAAACACTAGGGAAACAACTTTAGGGAGAATAAAGCCCCCTGGTTAGGAAAGGGGACACACATGGGAATCCAGGCTTTGGAGATGGGAGGTGCAAACAAGCTGGCGAGCTGTGTGGATGAGGCCACTGGCCACGGCAAGGACAGGAAAGAACCACGCCTGGATGCAAGCCTCTGTCCTGCCCCCCAAACCACGTTGCATTAGGCAGGTAACTTCATCTTCCCAGTCTCTTTTCCTGCACTTGTAGAATGGGGACCATGCTGCCCATGTCATAAGGCCGTCATAGGGTGACGTGAGAGACGTGAGTGCTCTGACACCCCTCCCCAGGACCCTCTCTCCTTGCCCCCTTAAGATGCTAGAATGTTTCACTCTTCTCTAGAAGTGATGGGAAGAAATCACTAGAAGATAGAGATTATAGCTTGAATTGTGTGGTTTGCATTCACACCAGATGAATCTTGAAGGTCAGAGGTGGTGGAGAAATATGAAGTCAAGGTAGAATCCTTCCAGACAAAGAAATCTTGAGTCTTCAGAGAAATCAGAGACAATGATTTATTTAGTTTAGAGTTATTATAAATGGTTTTATTTTAACAGCTCTTCCTGACTTAAAGACAATATATACTCATTTTGTGTTTACAAAATGTTCTCACACAGATTATCCTATTTGGCCTTCAAAACAATTCTGTAGGGTAGGAAGAGCAGACATTTATTTCTCCCAGGTTTAGAGACTTGCTGTGAGTCACACCTCATAAACGATCATTCTAGGACTCAAACAGATGTCTCCAGACCCCAAACTCTCTTGACTTTTCCCACATCCCAATTAATTCCTCAGCTCCTACGTGCTTACCCATCAGATAGAGAGCATAAAAACATGCACGCAATTGTCCATGTAGGTTAAAAAAAGAAAAATAGATACATCTCATGTGACAGCTCGAGTGGTTCCATTGGGCCAGCCAGTTTTCTCTAGGCCTCAACTGTGTGTGGCTATAAATTCTAAGGGTTGCTAACATTTATTGAGAAACCATTGTGTGCCACATATGATGTTAAGTAAGCCCTTTACATGCACTTTTCCTTAATCCTCTCAACAATATATGAAGTAGGTATTGTTACCTCATCTTGGAAGAAAGGATACATTATCAGTGAGGTTAAGTAACTTACTCAAGATCACACAGCCACACAGCAGACACAGAGAAATGTCAGTCTGGCCCCAGAGCACAGGCTCTCTATCACTGGCTGTTTACATCACTGTAGAAACCCCCATGTCTCTGGCACTTACCTGTTATTTTCATACAGAACTCCAGCCCCTTAAAAGTGTGTCCCAAACACTTACGGGTGTCCTAAGAAGGCATATGACATCATGTGTCCTCCAAATAGGTCCCCTCTGTCCACCATTTCTTCACTTCCTTTTCCAGCCCACGTAACTAAGAAATGAAATATTTGATTGCAATCACCTCTGGGTAGGTTTTCAAACCGAAAGCTGGAGGACAGAGTGTCCTGGACCCACCCCACCCCCACCATCAGTGCATTGTTTTGTTTGGAGCTGAGGTGAAATTAGCCACCCAGTCGCCCTGTAAAGCCCCTGCCTGTCTCGGGCAGTTGTGGTAAAAAGGCATCGGGTGATGGTTCATGCCCAGAGCTCATGCTCCTCAGGTGCCAAATGGAGGACACGCTGCTGGCTCGCAGGACTGTGTCATGGCCCGAATAATGTCAGGCACCTTGTGTAATGCTTGGCAGCACTAGCACTAGAAGCTACAAAAAATAGTTGCTTCTCGTCCATAGCTCCTTGCCTTATTAGCCGTCAATCAGTTAATTAGTTAACTGGTTGGTTAACTAGTATTTGTTGAGTGATTACAGTGTTCAAGCAAATATTTTCATAGGAGAGTGAGAAATTACATAATTACCTAAAAAAGGCTGGATGACACTCACACAAGAGTTTGGTTGAAAATTAGTGTCATCAGATGAACATATCACTATTTCAAGGGGTGCCTCTAAGAGTTGGACATGATATTGTTCTGCTCAGGTTTTCTCTGTAGTGGTGCTTGTTATGAAGGGATTGTGGTGGCCTGTGGACACATTTCTGAGGAAATGCAGACCGTCATTTGCCTGCTGCTGGAAATGTGGGCAGAGCTGCGTAAGCGTGGTGAACGGGCTGTGTGAAGAGGTTTAAACAGGCCCGCACACCCATCTGAGATCTCCAAGATGCGCCCTGGCTGGGGGGTCAGCCAGGGCCGCTGCGGACCTGGGAGACAGCCTGAGTTCTGCACAGAGCAGCCAGCTTTCTCAGCCACCTGCTCAGTTTGTCTCCAGGAACAGGATGAGTGCCTGCTTCCTGTTCAATCAAGTAGGAACTGAGAAAGAGACAACCTTTCCCAACGCGTCCGCTCCCTCCCTAGGAGCGAGTTAAGTGGACTCAGAAGGTTCCCCAACAGCAACATGCGGTAGCCCTCAGCATGCCGGCGCCTCAGGAGCTTATGGGATGGCTGCTGTACTCACATGTTAAGCAGGTACAAGTATTTAAAAAAAAAAACAACTTTCCATTTGATTGTTACCGGAATATTTTTTCTTATTTCATCTCTCTCTCTCTTTTCCTTATTTTCTCTTTTTCACCCTTTTGTCTTTATTTTGTTTATTTGTGTGTGTGGTGTCAAGTATTTTGTGTGTGTGTCTGTGGGACTTCCTCTGGGGAACTCCTGAATAGCCACAGAATTTAAAGTGGAAATTCCTCAGAGCCCTGAGGCTGTTTACAGCCCTGTGCTCCTAGTGCCAGCAAGCGGATTAAAGGGGTGCTTTGACGTGTATCAGGGGCTTCATCTGTAAATCCCACAGTGTCTCCAGGCCAGACACCAAATAGCTGGTGTGCATAATACAGATTGACGATTTAACAATGAAGTTAATAATTTTGTTATTTTCATTTCAGATGTGTAGAGGGAGACAGTGAAGACGGAGAGTGGACACACCAACGTGAGAGGGGCCACTTCGTGACCATCCCCTCCCAGTGCTCAGTCCCCAACGGCTCTGCACCGTCTGTCTGTTTCTATGAGTCTGTGACGTGAGTGCAGAGTCCCGTCCCATGGCCAGGATCCCGCTGCTCCCTGCTCCCTGGAGACCCCCTCACCCCCGTGCTGGCGGTGTGTCCTTGGCTTCCTCCAGCTGCCGGTGGGTCCAGGGGCCTGGTCAGCTCTGCACGCAGCTGCTACTGGCGTTCGCCTCCCTGGGCACTCAGGTCTGAAACTCGACCCCGGCGAGGACCAGCCCTACCTCCCTGGAGGAAACGGCTGAACAGCCCAGCAACAGCAGATGAAACTTCCTTCCCCCTCATCCAGCTGCAGGCCCCCCCAGCCCGAGGACTCTCCTCCCTGTCTCCAGCTGCCCCAGCCCGGACAGCAGCCCCAGGGAGCCTGGGGGAGGAACGCGTCTTCCCACATCCCAGGACTGGCTTCTTGGCAGGCCCGGACCTCGGGCACGCACAGCACTTGGCTGCCCGTCCTCTGCGCCTGCTGAAGGGCAGCCGTGGGACGCAGCCAGCTGCTTGCAGTCGCCCCGCTGCGCAGGACACGGAGGGGGAGGACAACCCCTGGGGTGTGGATGTGAGGAGGGGTGGCATGTGCAGGCCTTCCTTGGCCCCTGCCTGCAGGAAACCTGCAGGGCTCCCGCCCCTGCCACGCGGGCTGCCTAGCCCAGCTCCCGTCATGAGTGATGGCGCGAGCTGCGAGCTCTGGCCTCTCCTTGCTGCCCCCCAGGGCCTGTGGGGTGCCGACCCTCTGTCTTGGGATGCCTTGGGCTGCTTGATGCCACAGGCCATCCAAGCTCACCCTGACTGTGATGACAGGGCTGTGCTGCTGGGAGGTGGTGTCACCTGCCACATGCTCCCAGAGAACTGCGGGGAGGACACAGGTACCATGGCGCAGCCCAGGAGGGCGCGGCTCTACCGATGCCACCCGCCCATTCAGACCAGCAAGAGCTCCCTGGCCCCGCCTGCCACCCTGCCTCTCAAGGTAAGAAAGTGTGTGTGGCTGAATCCCCCGCCAGGCGGGAGAATGGGGTGGGTGCAGCTGTGCCCAGTGGGGCCCCATTCCTCTTGCTCAGGTTTCCCTGCCACCTTTCCCCAGGCCTGGCTCCTTCCTCTGTGCTCGGCCACTGTCCCAGCCACTAGCAGCCTTTTGTTTGGAAGAAGAGCATGAATATCTGTTTGCCAAGCCCCCTACCAAAGCCAAGAGAGGCCAGGCCAGGTGGCATGCCTACTTGCTGCAGAGACCCAAGGGAAGGGGTGAGGAGGCACCTTATGGCCCTGCAAAGTGCTGCCGCTCTGCTGGAGTTTTCATAGCCCACGTATTCTCGTGTCCTCACAGCAACCCTGAGAAATAGAACTTCGTAGCCCCAGTTTCAGATGAGAGTGAAGTGGCTATGCATAAACCCTCCTTCCAGAGGACAAGGGAAATGCAAAACCTGTTTTCCAGAGTGAGCACTGGGGACTCTGGGGAGGCTCCCGTGAGCTTGTGGAGTTTCCAGAACTGGAGGGCAGCCATCTCCTTACACACTTGACCTTCTGGGACTCCCGTCCACCTCCTAGCCCTCCTCCAAGTGGCCTCAGAGCCCTGGGCATCAGCCTGCTGGCCTCATTTCCCATCAGGAAGAGAGGTTGCCCCGGGGTCTCCAGGTCTCTCCGGGCTCTGCGCCTGCTCCTGGCCACCCCTGCTCCTTGTCATTAGCATCCTACTCTCTGTGTCCTGACTCAGCCTCCTCATTGTGCGTGCCTGAGCCAGCCTGCCCTCTTCCCCCAGCTCTGGCGGACATGGTAAAAGGATGCTTTCTTGCTGCCTTTTCCAACAGCAGGGGCATCTTCCTATTCTGCATGTGTGTTCGTGACAGTGCTGAAGGTGAGGATGAGGGTGCGTGAGACAGAGGAGGGGGCACTCTTGCATGTGTGGGTCAGCATGGAGGGGACTCTTGAGGAAGTCCCAGGGGAAACGGGTGGAATTCACATGGGAAGGGGGCCTTCCGTGGCTCAGATGTGGTGCTGCTCATCTGGATTCTGTGGCTGTCCCCCACACACCCTCCACACCACCCTCCCTCCCTTTCTCCTTTCAACAGGGTGCCTGGGCAGCCGGAGTGAGGAACCAGGGAGAAGGGGAGCCCCAGTGCTCCTGGGAGGGGGACTCTTGGGAGAAGAGGGATGCTAGCACGCTTCTTTGAGAAACAGTTTACATTCCACCGTTGTTCTTGTATCATCATTTCCTGTGGGGCTTAGGAGGAGCGACTCGCCGGTGCGTCAGGGCTCAGCCTCTGCGTCAGGGCTCAGCCTCTGCATGGGGCTCACACAGTGGTTGTTTGTGTACTTCAATGCTGCTCTGATGTCTTGGAAACTTCATGTTTCCCTGTGTCCCCTCCCACCTTCTGGGACAAGCCAAAGCTTCAGCGCTGTCCCCATTTCCCTGGGGGTAGGCCCTCTGGGAGTTGGTCCATGTGGGTAGATTTCTACCTTGTCTGCCTCATTGAGCCACTTTTGCTAATGAGCCAGCAGGCATCTGCCGCATCTGAAGTACGGATCACAGGGTTTCTGGCTCGAAACTTAGAAACCCCAGGTTCATGTCCTAACCTTGAGCAAACCACCAGAGCTCCCAGTTTCCATCCAGAGAACACTTGATGACATGCCCTGGCTCATAGTTGCCATGGAGATTTGTACACTGAAGTGCTGTCCTGTGAAAGGGACCCGCAGTAGTAGCCCTGCCTTCAGGGGACAGAAGGAGAGCGACAACATCAGGGGACACTGGGTAGGACCAGGGAAGCCATGGAGCCAGAGCCATGGAGCCGAGGTGGGGTGGGGTGGGGCCCGAGGGCCTGGCAGGGAAGCAGGGCTGCACAACCTCATTCTTGACCCTGCTGACCAGGCGCCCGTGGCCCCTGCACCAGGAGCAGGAGCTGGAAAATCTGTGCCCTCAGGTCACAGGCCCTTTAACCGCCTCAGCTGTTAGTAACCCGCCGGCCCTGCCCGGTCCTGGGTATTAAAGGAGCAAGATCAGCAGACAGGTCCCCATCTGCCCCACCCTGAGCGGACTAAGTGTCCTTGGGCCTGAGTAGTGCATGAGAATCCCCTGGTTCTCTCCCAGCAAAGTGGCCAAAGGCTGGTTAAAAGTCTCTCCTTGCCAGCTGTGAGTGGTGACGTCCTTGGTTGGCCTTAGTGGGGCCTTTGACTGGATATACTCAGATAAACATGTGATCGGTTATATTTATTAAAGTGAAGCGTTCTTACATGGAAGCAAAATCCATTCCTGCATTTCCCAAAGATTTGAGGCCCTCGTATGAACTTTCCAAGCAGGAGAGTCTGGATCTCAAGCACCAAGCTCTCCCTTGTGGTGCTCCCAGTGGCTGCGCTCACTCTCTCGTAGGGACACGAATGGGCTCCAAGGGGGACTGCTGGCCTCCATCTTGCAAGTGCCACGAGTGAGTGTGGTGACCCATGTCAGTCGCTCGTAGTTCACGCTGTGACTTGGCTTTAGCAGACATCCTGACGCTCTGCTGCCTGCAGAGGGCTTCCCAGGACCTCGGGGCTCCATGAGGATATGCATGACTATCCCCACTTCACAGATGAGGAAGCAGATGCTTGACAACAGTCAGTTGCTGCTCGGGATCAAGATGAGGAGACGGGGGCTCAGGGTGGCACTCCAATTTTTCACACTGAGGCCAGGGCCCCCGCCCTCTTCTCTCTCCATCTCCCGAGAGGGTGAGACATCCTTGGGAGGCACTCGGCCACTCCTGGGATGGTGAGTCTAGACTGCCCCCTTACTCTCTCTGGTGGAGCCCCCTTACTCTCTCTGGTAGGAGAAGGCCTCAGGGATGTCGGGCCTCAGGATCCTGCCGTGTGTCAACAGGCACCGCCCTCTAGAAGGACCTGGAAGACACGGGCTCCAGCTCTGGGCCGTGCCAGCTGCAGGCCACAGCAGCCCTGTGGTGAGTCCCTCGGTGTGAACCAGATGTTCCATGGTCTGGCCAGAGCCCGCCTGCCCAGTTTCCGGGGCCCCACATCCTGCTGGCTCTGTGGGAACGTGGGGGACTGTCCACATGTGACTCAGGCTTGGGACTAAAGATAAGAAGCCCCCCACAAAGACAGAAAACAGACACAACTCAAAAAGACAGGAAAAAAAGCTTTTCCACAATCATTTTGGGAAATCTCCAAATATTTTTTTAAACTAGGTCTTTGTGCTTTGAACTAACATGGCTTTTGGTATATAAATGAAATCAGAAAATGAGCAGTGACTATATTTCAAGAATTTCTCCCCAAAGCCCCTTTTCACAAACCCCACCAAATTTTTAGTTGTAGCTTTGAATTTCCCAGAAGGCCCACCTCTCTATTTCGGTCTTCCCTGTCCTCTCCCTCTCACCTCAAAAGCAGTCACTTGTGGAGTTTTCCTCACCAGAGCACAGAGGAAAAGTGGGAACGGTCAAGACAGCAGGCGTGGTGTGCAGGAGGTGCCGGGGCCGGACTCCTGATGGTGGGCTCATTCCCTACAGGCAGGCCCGGCTAACCCACTAGACAAAATGGTTTTAACTTTCTGCGTCTTGGATGGTTTTGCCGTAAAATAAAACCAGTGTCTGAAATATGTCTGTAAATACGTGAAATTTTTGATAGACAGTTTTCATAGAAAGGTCACGGGCACTGCAGTTCAAGGAGGAAAGTGAAGCCATGGTCCCAGGAGCCAACTAGCTAAGCAGCCCCCCGCACCTCACGGGACAAGCTAGGGTACCTCAGTGTTCTTGGAGGCCTCCCAGTTCCGACGTCCTGTGATAAGTAAGGATCTCTGAATCCAGAGAGAAATGAAATCATCTCACGGAATAGAAGTATTAAAACAATTAAATTTCATCTACCTCAGCTTGTTTCTAAAAGTAACCCTTTTGTCAAATGACTTCACTACAGGGAAGCATGCCCTTCTCAGGGGGATCTGGTGGGGAGCAAGAACAGTTATATTCATGAAGAGCACAGTGCCCGGCACAGAGCAGGTGCCTAACAATTAGTTGAATGAATGCATGAACCTCTGAAAGGCTGGAGCTTTCAGTGATGTGGAAGAGTCAGTACTGACACAAATCCCCACCACAGAATTTTAAGGGCCAGAACTGCAAGCCATCTACCCCTAGTGATTGCAATTTCCTTCTCTGACAGGATTCTAGTGGAGGAAACTCTCTTGTGGAGTCGAATACTGACTCCTTGGTATACTTAATCCCAGGAAGAGGTCATTTATCTCATCTGGGGTGAACAATCACCTAAGCCTGTTTGATATTTCTGGCCTCTTGTAAATTTAGAAACTGTTCTGCCCATGAAATGGCATTTTACATAAGTCTGCTTTTCTGTGAACCCTCCCTGGTGAACAAATTGGAATTATTAAAATGAAACTAGAACAAAAGGGGAATGTGTACAAATGCCTATGTTGTAATTTTGATACCAATGTGAATAAATGGGCAGTGGCGTCCCTTTTTAAAAGATGTTGCTATAAGCTTATTTCTAGACTATTTTACACTGCATCGGTCTTGACACGGATGTCTTGATTTACTACGTGAGTAAACAAAGCTGAGGTAGCAGAATGGGTTCAGTTCTTTTTTGCCTCGTGGTTTGCATCCCCATGGCAGTGTTCTCTCCCTCCTTTCCCCCACCACCCTCCCCTTTGGGCTTGATCACGTGCGTCCTGTGGCTTGCTGCGCAGGCTGCCCGTGGGGAGGCACACACACGTCAGCACCTTGACCAGAGCAGAGGGCAGAGGGCGCACGGACCACTTCACAGCCGGGGGTACCTGCGACATGGAGGTAGGCCCCGGCGTGCAGCTGGGACCTGGGGGTTCCGGCCCCTCTCTAATCCAGCCTAGCTGAGTAAGGGCAAGTCTCGTCCTTCTGGGTCTTAATTCCTGAACTTATTATTCCTTAATTACCTGTCACACGACAAGACTGGGCACTGGTCTCCTCCCTTCTGACTCCATGATGTTCCTGCTGATCCATTTGTGCCTATATTTGTGAAATCTCAACCCAAACTACAGTCTTTGATGAATGACAAATCTCTAAAAGCCCATTGTATTCAGAAGTCACTACATGGTGGGAAATTCCTTTTTTGGTAAAAATTAGATGCCACTCTAGTATCCAGAGGATAAATAGGATCTAAAGTATAATTTTATTCCAATATACACCCAATTTTCTACTCTCCAGTGTTAATTTGTTTTTCTTTTTATCAGATATTGGTAGCATCAGTCAAGTATTAAGTTTAGCCTGAGGGATTCAGACAAAAAGACTAATACTGAGTTTTTTTTATAAATATACACAAAGAAGTTGTGTTTTTGTATTCTCCCATATTAAAAAGAAAAAAGTTTGCTGAAGAGGATTGTTCTGTGCTTTATCTGTGCTTGAATCAATTACTCAGCAAAGGCAATATTGAAAATCAATCCCAGTTAGGAATTAAGGCCTAGAATGCCAAGAGATTTGTCCTTGCCTGGCTAGTTTGAATCAGTTCCAACAGATTGCCTCAGTTTAACTTTGAAGTTTTGTACCCTTGTGCAAAAGTTTTCTATCTCTTGTAGATTCAGTTAGGATTCTTGGTTATGTGTAATAGAAACCATCAAGGCAACTTAACCCTAAGTAAGGCTCATTAGAAGGAGGACACGTGTAAAAGTGTAGAGTCTGGCAGAACCCAAGGGCAAAAATGTCAATGGTCCTCAGGACCAACCAGAAGCCAGACTAAGGCTGCAATCTTTTAAGACCTGCTTCCCAATCCCCCTGAAGGCTCCTTGGTCCACAGGGGTTGGATGCCCACCAATCTTCTAAGGTGGGGATGGGTGTGGCTCACATTGTACTGGCACTGTCAGGTCTGCTGAGAGACCAGAGATGGCTATAACCAGGTAAATCTGGGAAAGGGAGATGTGGATAAAATGAGAGTTCTTGTGGCCAGGATTCTCAACTGGCTGTGGTTGACTAGCTCATTGCACACCTGTGAGCAATACATGGCTGTTGACTCTATAAAAAGAGCTCCACCCAGTGCTCTGGGCACGACAGGTGGCAGGGCTGCAAGGCTGCAGGAAAGTAGAGCAGAGGCTGGAGTGGTGGCAGTGCCGAGGACAGAGGCCCAGAGGACAGCTGTGCGGGATGGCTGTGCAGAGAGGTCTGGAGGACCACTGTGCAGGAAGGCTGTGTGGACAGAGGGGCCCAGAGGCAGAGACTGGCTTGCTGCATGCAGACTTGCTCTGAGTGAATAAGATTTTAGTGACTGACCTGCCACCTGGAAATAAAGTTGGATATAACCCTTTCACCCCAAGAACGTTTTGCTGTCAATTTCTTTGGTCACACTGAATCCGTAGCGAACTTGGCCGGGGCTGAAACCCATTGGCAAGACAGGAGAGTTTTAGGAACTGATGGGATGTGGAGGTGAGGGGGGCCGTTGTGGTCAGCCGACCCAATCGATGACCCCCCACTTTCAGAACATTGACATCTAAAATTGTATAAGTGTCCCACCTGAGCCTTCTTAGATTTGAGGGAAGCCAGTTTTTATAGACTTAGGGGAGATTTTTAAAAAGACCATCCCTGAACTAAGCAATACATTAGAATGAAATTATTGCCTGATGTGGTTCATAAACAGATTTACTCTCAGAATCTGCTCCTGGCTATGACATGATAAATTTTGCCTTTCAAATATCTTTGCCCTTGAGATAATATGATGCTACAAGTTTTTATTGAATGGAAGTTTGTTAGGTGAAAGTGGGCTTCTGATCTAAGCAGATACACCTCGGGTTCTGCATGGGACCCCTTCAGCTTTAGAGCAGCTCAGTGGGGCTCCTGACCCATGATTCGAGAAGTCAGGCCTGGAGCTGAACTGTACCAGTGAAAGACAAAAGGTGGGCAGAAGAAACAGTGGCAGCTCCAGGGTTAACCTCCCTGGCTGTTGCCGGGCTGTCCTTTCAGGAAGTTCACTTTCCTTCATTCTAAGCAACCAGCAGCTGTGGATTTTTTGGCTGCCCTTTGTGTTGGGTGTATTTCCTGTGAGCATATTTAGTCAGTTTTAGCTTTCTGGAATTTAACTTTCAATTTTCTGGATGTGTGAATTTGCAGTCACCTTTCAATTACCAGGTGCAGCAGCTTATGAGCTAAAAAGCTCTAGGGCATTATTCAAGCACTTCCAATGTATTATCATTTGAAAATTCCATTTTATCAGCAAGGAGCTTGATTATTCATCACTGAGTTCTCACTCTGACTATAGACAAGGTAACAATTAAAATGTCATCCCATTTATCTCAGGCCATAAGCACAGAGATCTCAGGGGATTTTGTTTATATACACTGAATTTTTTTTCCAAAGAGGATTTCAAGTGTTCTATAACTGTAGCACAAATAACAAATAAAAATAATGGTGAAGGTAAATGGTAAAAAAGAGTTGTTGCCGGGCAGCTGCGTCTGGGGAAGTCTCTCCCTGCACATCAGGTAAAACCTCAACCTGGGGAAGGTTCTTGACGCTGAGCAGGAAAGAATTCCTGAGTAGGTCAGACTAGTGTGGGTAAGGAAAGAATTCATTAGAGTGAGAGCAGCAGGTAATGGCAGCAGCCTTGCAGGCAGCAGAGAGCAGGAAAGTACAGAAGGAAAGAGGGAAGACCTGGGCCAAGGGCAGATTCCCTTGCCAGCTCCTGAAGCCAGGGTCACCTGGCGTCCTGTGTCCGCTTGGATCTGCACGGCATGGAGACATGCTCCTACCACCTCAGGATTTGGGGCAGCCACAGAGCACAGGATAGAGTGAGACTATTTTCTGAGAACTTCCCAAAGAAAGGAGATTTTCAGGTAGGCCACTAAGAGCAGATCACACAGCGACAGTTCCATCCGGGTCACCAGGTGACAGAAACATGCAGGCCCAAATCTGAGCCCTTAGCAGCCCCTTCCTACTTATTAGGAGTAAAATGGAGACAAAGTGAAGACTTGGAAATAAAATGAAATAGCAAAAAGACAAGCTGCAATAACATGAGCAGTGAGAAAGCTTTACTTAAAAGTATGCACTTAAAGGAAAGTGCAGGCGTTCTCAGGGAGGAGGCTCACTGAAAGCTTGGGGATTATTCTGTCTTTTAAGGCTTTCAAGGATGGGGTAAAGGGCGGGGGTGTTGTTGGGCATAGGCTTGACTTGTGGTCTCCTCACGAAACCATAAAATTCTTAGAAAAAAACATTGGCAAAAATCTTTTGGACATACACATGAGCGACTTCTTCATGAACATATCTCCCCGGGCAAGGGAAACAAAAGCAAAAATGAACAAGTGGGACTATATCAAGCTGAAAAGTTTCTGTAGAGCAAAGGACACCATCAATAGAACAAAATGACATCCTACAGTATTGGAGAATATATTCATAAATGACGGATCCGACAAAGGGTTGACATCCAAATTATATAAAGAGCTCACACACCTCAACAAACAAAAAGCAAATAAGCCAATTACAAAATGGGCAGAGGAGCTGAACAGACAGTTCTCCAAAGAAGAAATTCAGATGACCAACAAGCACACGAAAATATGTTCCACATCACTAATCATCAGAGAAATGCAAATTAAAACCACAATGAGATATCACCTCACACCAGTTAGAATGGCCGCCATCCAAAAGACAAACAACAACAAATGTTGACGAGGTTGTGGAGAAAGGGGAACCCTCCTACACTGCTGGTGGGAATGTAAATTAGTTCAATCATTGTGGAAAGCAGTATGGAGGTTCCTAAAAATCTCAAAATAGAAATACCATTTGACCCAGGAATTCCATTCCTAGGAATTTACCCTAAGAATGCAGGATCCCAGTTTGAAAAAGACATATGCACTCCTATGTTTATCACAGCACTATTTACAATAGCCAAGAAATGGAAGCAACCTAAATGTCCATCAGTAGATGAATGGATAAAGAAGAGGTGGTACATATACACAATGGAATATTATTCAGGCATAAGAAGAAACAAATCCTACCATTTGCAACAACATGGATGGAGCTAGAGGGTATTATGCTCAGTGAAATAAGCCAGGCAGAGAAAGACAAGTATCAAATTATTTCACTCATCTGTGGAGTATAAGAACAAAGCAAAAACTGAAGGAACAAAACAGCAGCAGACTCACAGAACACAAGAATGGACTAACAGTTACCAAAGGGAAAGGGACTGGGGAGGATGGGTGGGAAGGGAGGGATAAGGAGTATTACGATTAGTACACATAATGTAGTTGGGGGGGGATACGGGAAAGGCAGTATAACACAGAGAAGACAAGTAGTGATTCTATAGCATCTTACTACGCTGATGGACAGTGACTGAAATGGGGTATGTGGTGGGTTCTTGATAATAAGCGGAGTGTAGTAACCATAATATTGCTCATGTAATTGTATATTAATAATAGCAAAAAAAAAAAAAAAACTA